AGACGAACTATTCGAGCCAGCTGGGGCTTGGTCGAAAATAGTTCCATGCTAAACTTGGGATTTAATTCTTTGTTAAAACTTTGACGAAAGCTAAGTTATTTTGTTTCACTCGAGCTGCTGTGTGCTGTTGACTGGCCGGCGGGGGTTGATAAGGTGAACGGGGAAAGTTAAGTGGAGTCTACGGACATGAGTACTTTGGTTGACGGAGTGTCAACAGGCGTTCAAGCTCGGGGAATTGAACTGGTTTTGGAGCCACCCGTATCCTACCATTGTGATGTTATTTTTCTGTTGTTGATGTGAAATATCCTGATTACTTGTTTATTTGGATGTGAGTTTTCATTTTACCCCTAATTATTCACTAAGCATATAGCTTACCCCGTTCCATTTGTTTTCCTTAGCAGGGGGTACGAACGAGACGTGAGACTTGTACAAAGTAGTCTAGTTTTGAATTTTGAATGGTACTCGTGCTGGCACTCGACTGGGGTTAATTGGACTCGGATTGTAAACACGTTAATATATTTAGGTGTGTCTAAGCCTTGTAGTTGGATATGAGCATCAATGTATATATTAAGTTTGAACTTCTGGTGTTACTTATTTTCCATGGATGTAAGTTATTTTCTAGAAATACGAGTGAGTGAGTCCTGGCGAGAGTTGGGCAAGCGGTCCGCCGAACCCTGGGGTACGCCCTAGGGGGAGGTGGGGCTGTCACAGTAGTTGGGTTAGTTAGTATGCACACCATGTATTTGATGAAATGTTTAAACTTTGCTCATTGTTGTTTATGAAGTATTAACATGTTTTAGTTTAACACTTGATATGTTGTTTAAGTGAAAATCATGAGAGGATGAAGGTTAGATAAATATGTGAACTTGTGGACTGTTTTCTTTTTCCTTGGCTGACCGGTATTGGAAGAAAGGGTTTTCCCTTGATTTTTGTGGTTCAAATGTACCCTATTCAAGCCTAATAAACATGGCTAGACATTGGTTAAGCTCATGGGTGAGTTGAAATGAAATTTGAGCAAGTAAAGTGGTGGTTTGGTCTATAGTGGACTGGTTTGGTTTTTCTTGATGGCTAGGCTGCTATAGTTATTCTCAATCATGTTTATGTGTTACTTTTTGAACTCCAAAGGTCCTAGGTGACTTGAATCCCTGTACATGAACATTTGAGGATAGATTTGGGTGAATTTGAACCAAAACAAATGGAGATAGCACCAAGAACTAATGTAGTTTTGCTTGAGGTTGGGGCTGATCCAGAGTTGGAAAATCAGCCAACTCGTTCGAGCTACTGGTAGTGATAGGAGACGAACCAGTATGCGTATTTGGTACCATTGGAAATCCCTTTGAGTCTAGTTTCCAACGCTGCTGACGGCACCTAATTCTGACCTTCCTACAGTGAGATATGACCGTTTTCCCAAGACTGCGCGGGCGGGACTGTTCTACCCGCGAAGAACATTTTTAACTTGAATGAAACATTTCTTTTGACCAACTTTCTTGCACTTGTTAAACTTGTTTTCTCATAAACTTTTACTGCATTTTGGGCCAAGTTTTCATGATGAATTGAATGGCTTTAACCACTGACTTGGTCTCTTAATGATCTTACAATTGAGTGGGAAATGAACCTAATTTGTTAATGATTTCACTCGTTGCCCTAGGATTGGGAAACGAAGGTGGTCGTAACCAAAACACTTGACGTTTGAACTCCACATTGCTTGACAGGTGAGTGTTCCAAGTACATGAAAATATTTACGTGGAATGTCTCCTTGCTTGAATAACATGCTTACTTGGTTAAAGTAACTGCTCTTGAATTGATAACCTTTGGGACGAGGATGTACTTTATCATACTCGATCCTTTGTAGTTCACTTCGTGATATTGATATGAGATGAAATGCTTTACTTGCACTTGACTTGTTGGTCACTCGAGTGATTATCCTACCGACTTACGTGTTACATGCTCATTATTGTTAGACAATGCTAGGTATTTGATTTCTAGTCTCATATATAAGTGTGTACTTTATTGCACTTGACCTCGCTCGACTAAACTTTGATATTTTGTTAAAATATGTACTGACCGTTTTGTTATAATTGATATGTGACCAGATTTGCTAAAGAGATTTCTAATTTTCTCCAATTCTTCTTATTTGATCAAGTTTCGTAACCATTCTATTTTCAACTGTTTGGATTTGAAATACTTGAATTGCTTAAAACATGATATGCTGAACTTAATTGTGACTTGAATCTATTTAGGCGAGTATGCTCTTATGTATACTCAATTGACCCGACTTGACTAAACACTTGATATCTCCTTCACGCATGAACAAGTAACTTGATTTGTATATTGACTTGAAATATTTGGAATACTTGAGAATATGAATTATTGGACATTACTTGAAAATATGAATTATTGGACATTACTTGAGAGTATGAATTACTGGACAGTACTGGAATACTTGAGAATATGAATTACTGAACATTACTTGAGAGTATGAATTACTGGATAGTACTGGAATACTTGAGAATATGAATTACTGGACATTACTTGTGACTTGATTCTGGCTAGGCGAGTGTGTCATTATCACACTTGGCCTCCCTTTCTTGAATGATATTGTACTCACTTGAACTTGATTGACATGTATTTGTGTTTGTGCTTGTATTTGACTTGCAAGTGCTGAGCGGCCGTATGTACCACACTCCATCCGAGTGGGAGTACCTCTCATCCTGTCTCAGTACTTTTATCTCGATTAAATCGATAGGAGAGTTATCTCATCGACACTAGTGCTGAGCGGCCGTATGTACTACACTCCATCCGAGTGAGAGGTACTTCTCATCTCATCTTAGTACTTTTATCCCGATTAAGTCGATTGGAGAGTTATCTCATCGACACTAGGGCTGAGCGGTCGCATGTACCACACTCCATTCGAGTGGGAGGTACTTCTCATCCCGTCTCAGTACCTTTATCCTGTTTTGTCGAGTGGAGTGTTATCTCCTCAACTAATTGGTATATTCGAATATCACAACCACTATTTATTTCTGAATACGGAGCATTGGATAGTTGCCAACGACTCCAATCTTGATTACTGAATACTTGGTGGCTATAAGCCATATTCTGAATTACTGTATATCTGGGACTATAAGTCCAACCCCGGGGCTAGTTGGTCAAATCGAACCGGCAAGAGTTTGGTTGAGAAGATCAACGAACCTTGGGTATTTCTTGGACGTTCGGGCCCGGTAGGGGGTGATGGTGGACGGAAACTGGTGTAAAGTGGGGATCTACGGACGTTATACTTTCGTGGTTGACGGAGAGTCAATGGACCTTGATCAAGCTACTGTGAAACTTGCTCCTGAGAGCAACCTATATCCTTTGACATGAATGTGTTCCTTACTGCACCCTTTTGCATGTTTTATCTAACTATTTGCTCAATTATATACTAGATTATGATCTCATCGAAGTTGACTTGTTTCTTGATGTCTGAATATGCTATCTTGTCTCGTATTTTACCTACTTAATTACTTGGAACATCACTGGGCTTCTAACTCATTCCACGCCATTTGTTTTCCTTACAGGGATGAGAACATGAGAAGTTGAATTGAGGAAGGCCTCATTTTCTTTTAAGTTTGTTAGTTGCTGGTGTGAGCACTGCATAGGTGTTTAGCCGACTTATTTGGTTTGATTTTTGGCAAGCTCGACTCTTTGGCTGTAATAATTTCGTTTTCTTTTGAGGGTCTATTTGTAAATTTTTATGTTATTTGACTGAGTCCTAGCGAGAGTTAGGCAGACGATCTGCCAAACCCTTGGGTATACCCTAGGGTTAGGTGGGGCTGTCACAAAGAAGATATAATCTTACAGACAGACTTCAAATTCAAAGTCGAAATAGGATTAGATAGATCTCAGCTTTGTGGAATCTCGTTTCTTGTCAATAGATGTCAGCAATATTCTAATCTAAAAGCCTTGGAAAGTCCATTGCTAGTGCCAAAAAAGGAATTTGGCCCGAGTTCTTGACAGGTGCCGAGCCTGTGCAATAATAATAATAAAATCTAACTACCACCAAAAGCAGTCAATAATCAATTCTAAGTACTGGAACAAAGACTTTAGATGTGCAATGGGTTACTTGATTCACCCTATTTCCGAAGAGTTTGCTTAATCCAATATATCAGAATTAATTAATTGACAAAATTTACTAACTAGTAGACAGTAGCAAGCAGGGTCGTCTCCTCAGGGATTGGGAAATAATTCGTTTCCTTTCGAGTCAAGACAAACGGAGGGATTTAGGATTAAATGCTAATGAATTGCTAACTAAATAAATCAAATGCGAAAAAAATAATTAATTGAAAGAAATAATTGGGAAAAACTCTAGCCAAAGATACACTTCAGAAATGGTTCATGCAACTGATCATCGATTCAAATATAATTCTAATATTTATTAATAGATTGGTTATAATTGTCACACACGCGATAAACAACCAGTCTTTTCTTGCTTTTTCGATAGTCAAGGTATGACCGTTAACTATTTTTCTAACTAAGAAATAACCCTAGGTATGATCGTAGGATTTAATTTCTAAATTACATTGAGAATTAGAAAAGCCCAACCCTAACTAACAAACACTCTACGAGGGTTTGTTTAAATTAGATCGTATGTTTTTCTGACATAAACCCAATTATGCCAGTTGCTATCAGGACGGAAGTAATCGAATAATTACGAATTCAACTACCCCCAATTAGCAAGTAGCCTACGTGAATAATTAAATATTACTCATCTATTCAATCATACACGATAGCTATAGCAATTAAAAGCAGAAAACATACAAATACCTATAAATGAAAAAAACAGTTAAAATAATTTAGATCTCACAGTTATTATTGAATCAAATCTTCAGTTGTCCCTTGACTAGAAATAGGAAGTTAGTTCCATGCAACACAATTGAGAAAAGCCGTCAATTCTTGTCCTCCCAAAATCGATCAACAGAGAAAGAAAAAAACAAGAAAAATCGTTGCCTCCGTTTGTTTCTGGCAGAGCATAAAGAGAGTCTGATATCTCTCCAATTCGGTCAAACAAGGGAAAAAAAGAGAATTAGACCAAGTCAACAATTGTGGCTTCTTTCGTTCGTTTCCTTCCAATTGTGCTAAGAAGCAAAAAAGGTCAAAGACAAAAGAAAGTACAATTCTTCTATGCGTTTTTATCCTCCCACAATAGAAAACGGTCCTACAATCTCACCCTTTTCCTACTTTTTCTCCTAACTTAAATAGCAATTTTATTACAATTCAACTTCTTCAGCGTTTGCTTTCCTTTGGAGTGACCCACGGATTTCCCAATTTATAGCCAGCTACTTCACTTATTATTCTGAAGTTTCTCACGTGCAAATAATCCCGAGAATTCGATTTTGAAGGTTGGAGTTAGGCGGCCCCGCCTAACTCTCACGAAGTCTTCTGAAATGTTGATTTTCAGCACTTTTTCTTCATCACTTCCTGCAATTAATATCAAATACAAAACTTGAGTAGGATCCACCAAATAGTGCAATATTTAGTCAAAATAATTATGCAATATTATCAAAATATCTCACTAAAATGCACCCTATCAATTCTACTTTTCGAAACTAACATAAATCCATAAACCATACGAGAAACCTCCAATCACATGACTGAAAGAATCTAAATGCTCGTCACAATCAAAATCTCCATGACCAATTGGGTCAAAATAATAACAAAAAATAATAAACTAGTATTCAAATTTTACTATGCCTCTTATTCAGCGAACAACTTCATAATTCATTTCAATGAATTGACTAGTTAAAAATGGATCTTAAACCTAAGATTCCAGCCCCATGACATCTTTATCGCCCTTTGCGCCATAACTTTCATAACATCAGTTCTATTGCCAATAAATTCTGTGATTTGAGCGTCTATCTATCAAGTGGAAAAGTGATCCAAAAAGAATAGGAATCAAATTTCGCTTTTGGTAACTGAAAGCTGCCAATATAATCTCTAATAACAAAAAGGTGACCATCAAAAATCCATAGACATCCAAAGGTCACTTTCTTTGTGTCAACCAAGCTATTAAATGTGTATAGAAGGAGAAATGGTATTCTTTTCAATTGATTCATTAGGATGAATACTGTCAATCTAAATCTTGTTTTAATGTGACAAACATTATTTGATGACTTTATTTAAATATGCAGGATACTTTAAGTGAAGACCTTGTAGTGTTTGGCATGGAAAACAAGGTGACAAAAGAAATAAGCCAATTGAGGAAAGCCTGATCTTTTGAATTTTGTTAGAATTTTGTTGAGGAAATATTTACTTAATTATCGTGATAACATTGAACTCTAAGGTCATTCTCTAGTCTCTAGGGTCAACCTGTTTATCAGTGTCTAAGATATTTCTCAAATTATTTTTGAAAAGTTTTTAATAATATATTTTGTGGTCAAAATTAACTCTCTATAAGTTTCCTAGCATTTAATTTTTTTTTTGAATTTCTATAAATTAGTCAAATAATCTTTCATACAAATCAAAGTTAGTACTTTCATAAAAGATCTTGATTCATTTAGCAATCCATCTTTGTTTACATGCTACCCTCCCCTTTTCAAAGTTAAATTGTCATTTTATGAAAATCAATGTTATATCTGACTTTCTCATTAAGGTCTGATAGATTTGATTGTTTTCCAATTAAAAATATCCATAAATCACTCATTATATCTAGATTAAATCTTTAAATTGAAACAATAACATTTTCAATCATCAAACACAAAAACCAATAGTCAGTTCAAACATAAGTTTTCTATAACCTCTTATTTTGTGGTCAAAATCTTTACAAACCATTAATTGTCCAATGGGTAATTAGTTCCAAATGATTCTACAAAAAACATAAGTATTCTTCATTCTAAGCATTAGACTTTGTGAAGTGTTTAACTGAAAATCTTTTATTGAGTTCTTGTGGTTACAAACTAACCTCTTATTTTTCTTGCAAAAACAATCTAGAGACATCAACGGTGTTTTAGAAAATTTGTGCAAGATTGAGGGCAATCTAGTTGAGCTAAAACTTGCTAGCATCGATCCTTTGAATTTGATCTTCTCTAGTATTAGGAAAGTTGCTAGGGTTTGATCTTTTCTTGTATAGGGAACTAAATGTTGGAAACCCTCCATGGTTAGGCCTTCATACTGAACTATCATAAAAACCATATTCCGTACTCTTCAATTTCTATAATTTTATTTTATGTTATTATTTTTCTATTTTTTTACTCTGATTCTTTTATTTCTATTCAACGTATTTGTTTGGGGTATTCATTGGGAAAGGTTATGTGACAACCCCACTTCCTTATAGGGTGTATCCTAAAAGTTAGCGGATCGTCTGCTTGGCTCTCGTCAGAACTCATTGATTTCACATTAACTTCAGATATAACCGTTTGATAATTTCCATTAACCATACATTAACTCCAGAGATAACATTTTGATAAACCAAAACCAACCGTTCACATTCTTTTACAATACCTCGATCGATACAAAATTCCTACCTTATTAAGATGCTAATCACAAGGCTAAAGTCTTCACGATAAATCCCTAAATTCCCTCATTCGATCCCCGACCTCCAACTCCTGTAAGGAAAACAAAGCTAAAAGAGCTGAGCTAATGCTCAGTGAGGTTTGCCGAGCAAGTAACATTTAATAAACATTTAAATCAATACAATTAAGCAAATAGTGCACAATTCACTGTACAATCACTTTCATTAAGCAATTGAAGAAACACTTCACTAAACAATCACTTTTAAAAGGATACGGTGCTCGCATTAGAGCCACTTCAATGTCATTGAGCATTCATTTCAGTGTCAAGACACACTCATTTCACTGTCATTGTACATTCATTTCAATATTATTGCACATTCCGCCGATTCACCCCCTTATGTCCTCCAAAACAATAAACAATCCCCTACATTCAATAATCAGTTCAATAATCTCCCAACCTCATGGTAATACTCGAGTATACCGAAACATTTATCCAAAGCTACCATCCTACCCAACCAAGCCCTTTGCGGGCTCGAATAGTCCGTTGAACAGAGGGTTTTGGGGCCTAGTTCAGCCGATGCAGCAAGGCACACATATGGCTTACATTCATGCACACTTACAGTAACATTCAGTCAATTATCGACCTTCAAGCTCAACTAAGCTGAGTGCGATGAAGTACACCCTCGACTTAGAAGGCGAGGGACAATTGAAATACACTTCACAATAAATCATTTAGTAATAATTCATAATAAACACATTTGTCACATAATTGCACTTAGGTACACATAAACAATTAAACACATAAATTTGAAAAACACTCACCAAATATCCAAATGAACTATTCGCGAGCCTCGCGTTTATTTCCTAGCTCACAGCTACTTCCTGGGGCAATTTAATAAGTTCAAAGTAAATATATAATTTGTAGGTGATCACTTATCTTCTTACTTTATTATCTAAACTATTAATATCAAGTTTGACCTTAAAATATAAATATATTCTTTATTTACCATTTATCCTACATTTTATTTCGAAACCTATTAATTTTATCATTTAAACCAAGAATTATACATATGTTCTAACGTTATAGTTTTTATAGGTATTTAAATTAACTGTAACCTATTTTCCACCCAAAATCTTAAGATGCAAGCTTAGAAACACTCCATTGGTTGTCCTTTTATCTAGCCAAGGTCTAAGTTGTGTGCACTTTAAATTTTATTTCACTACACTAGCCTCTAAGTTTTATAGTCTTTAAAATAGTTGTGAAGACAAGCTTAAGTGATTATAAGCCATTTTAGAAATCAAAGTTCAAAGTTGATAAATTTTTTAGAGGTTGGCAACTTAGTATTCCTATGAACTTCCTTGATTATATCCTATATTTTGAATGAATTTTCACAAGTAAAATTGTTATAAGGTGGTTTGAAGGGGTTTTGATCTGTTTTGGTTCAAGTTCGACTTTTATAATTCAAGTTAAACTCAAAATTTAAGCACTTGTTTAAGAATGGTTCAAAACAGCTTTTCAGCAATAGGTAGTCAAGTTTCTTCCTTTAGTTTGCTATTTTCTTGCTTAAACTTCCTCAAATTCAAGGTACATTTTACTATCATTCTGTTATAGGTCGTTTTTTGTTAAGGCTTAGCTAAAATTTTCAGAAAAACTCAAGAATACAATCGAAATCATCCAATCAACCCCAAATTTACCAAAACAGTTCCGCATGCTTGATTAGCTCCCCTTTCTTTCTCTAAGATTCAATTATTTCGTCTCAAATTAGGACAATCACAATATTCAGAGTAAAACAGAGGAGTAGGGATGTTTTTTATCAATATTTGCATATATTCCAGGTTACAAGATGAAATCTAAGTTTGAGAAAACACGAGAGCATTCTTGGTTCAAAGCTGGGATTTCCAGCCATATATCTTTACCAAAATTTCATTTAATGAATCAAACATTAACCAAATTTGACATGCATTCATCATTGAACATAATATATAATCCCTAGTAGGATTTCCATCAAGAAATTCACCAAAATCAACATTTAAAAGCTATCTAACAATCCAAGTTTCAACATAAGCAAAGCTGGAAGGAAATCCAGCAAACATTCGGTCCAAGTGAGGGATTTTCCCAACAAATTTCATCAAATCCATCCCAAATTGACATGCAATCTCATAACCACTGAAATGAGAACATGCAACTTCTAAATCCAGCAAAATTTTGAAGAAAAGAGCCAAAAATTGCAGCTTTTCTCTCGTTCTGTTGTCCAGAAAATTTTCCAGCCTTGCTTTTGCTCACACATCGATCTTTTCCATGCTTTAACCTCTTAAAAGTCACATGCATGTTAAGGTTAATGTGTTATAAGGTGTTTTGAACTACCGTATCAAAAAAAACTGAAAATTTCTTCCTTTCGCTCTCTCGGCCATGTCATCAAATTTTTAGCAGCTTCTTTCAACAATTTCAGCCATGTTTGTCAATGATTCACTAGTTTCAAAACAAATATCTTATAAGCCATGAGATTAAACATATATCATACATTTTTAGTGAAATTTCCTCCAAGTTTTCGAATGGACAGTTGTGAACTTCAACTCTCCTACCCTTGGCCAAGTCGAACTTTCCAGAAACGAATCAGTTTTCACACAAGATTTCCTTCAGCAAAACTCACTTTTCTTGGCTAAAAACTATCATGCAACATGAGAAATCAAGAGTGCTAGAAGATTGAGAGGTTTATTACAATTGTTACCTCCCTTTTGCAGACAATCTCAGCTGGAAAAATGTGGACAGTTTCCTCCCTCTGCTCCTCAAAGAATCGCACCAGATTTCTCTCTTCTTGCTCCCCCCGCTGCCTCTAGTTTGCACGCCAAACAGCTGCGGTCCTTCCTCCCTCTCAACTTTCTGTTGGTTGGCGTGGTAATAGGAAATGATTCACTCTTTCTCCCTTACTCTCTCTCGGGTGCAGACTTGGAGCAATGAAGAACCAAAAATGTTTCTCACTCGGTGGTGTTTCGGAATGAATGATTATGACCGAAACTCTCTCTCTCTCGGTTTTGTTTCTACTGCTTGGTTTATAAGAAGAGAATTCGACTTATTTCCTTCGCTCAGCCGACCACTCAAGCTTCCTCATTCGGTGCTAATCAATCCAAACTCTCATTCGGTCACTGCCTACTCAACAATTTCGGTGGCAAGTTCATCTGACAGCTGTCCAAATAACAATCATGCACCGCCCAACTATCACACAAATTCCACTCCTTTTCTTTTCCACCGTTTAGATAGCAGCTCCTTACAGTTCCAAGCCCTCCACTTATATGTCTCCCTTTCAGTTTTATTTTATGAAGTACCGTTAGCTGGTTTCTTGGCTGCATGGAAAATTAACCAAAACTCTAAGGTTGGTTTGGTCTTCTTTTTTTTTTTTTTTTGTTCATTTGTTTGCCATGAGTTCGTGATTTTATTGCCTCACGCATTGCTCCAAAATTTTTCGTTTGTCCTAATTTGTATGTACCTTGAAAAATTTTCCTTATATCGATCCAATAAATTTTCACACATTTAGGTTTTAAGGAAAATTAATTAGGCATGTATTTATTCAACTATATAATGAATTAAGATGTCACAATTTGCAATATGTCTATCGTTTGTTTGTTTGATTCCTAAAATTTTCTACACCATTCTAGGATATTTCTAAATTCTCAATCATATATATATATATATATATATATATATATATATATATATATATATATAATAAAGTCGTATTCTCATCATTATCCTTTTATTTTGTCTCTTTTCTACGTGGCTGAACGACAGGGCAAGTAGGTGCAACGTGCTTTATAAGTTAACCCCCTAATAACCTACGTTATTTCATCCCTCTTTTTCTCTTGCCTTTACAATTCTAGATAATCCTTCCATAAGTTTCTCTTCCATTCTTTCACCTTTTTTTTTCCTTAACCCTAATCGTCAAGCCTAAATTTCCTAGGGATTAGTATAAATAATTTTGAATTATGTTTTTAACTCTTTCTTATCTTCAACTTAAAAGTTCGAAATATCAATTCAAATATTAGATTATCTTTATCAGATTATCGCTATCGCAGATACTCTACATTTTTACTCATATATATGATTCTCGATCTATTACTCATCACTTTATCAAGCAGTGAAAATGTTTATACTTTTCCACCAATTTTTTTGGAAAGTTTTTTTTTTTTCCTTCAATGCAAGGATCGGATTTGGAACTTCGTTTTTATTCCCTTCAATGCAAGGACAGCATTTGGACTTTGTTTATGCTCGTTGTATGCGGTCTGTAATTTCCTACACCTTCTTCATAGCTAGGTCATTGAATTTGAATTTTCTAGGTCTTCAAAAGTTACAGTTTGGTTTTTATTTCTAGCAAGGTTTTTGTAATTAATTTGTTATTTCAATTTATGGATTCACTCTTCAATTCAAGTAGAACACAAATTGGTTTTTGGTTAGTGATTTAAAAGTGGCCTTTTAAACTATGTGTTTTCACACGATTTTTTAATTGCCTTTGACAATTTATTAATTGCCTTCAACAATGTACTAAATTTTTTTTATTTTCTAGGTTTCTGGGGTTAAAAAAAATTTTGTGCAGTTTTCAATGTTTTTTTTAGACTTTGGTAGAAAGCTTCTAAAGAACAAGAAGGTGTCACTGATTACGTAAATGGCAAGGCATCAAGTTCATTGTCATACAGCAATTCACGTCATGCAATATACATCAGACTATTTAGGTTTTTTATGTTTTTGACTTAAAAGTAAAATACATCTTATGTTTTTGTTTTTCTTCTATTAGCCGTGAACAGATTTAGAAGGTTGTTGTGTTCCTATAACTTGATTGATTCTGAATTCTGATCTTTCATTAATACTTCATTCGGTTTCTTTTCTTTTCACATTAACCTTTAAGCGATTTATATTAAGTACCAAAATTGATGTTTTGGTAATGGGTTGGCCATTCTTTTGTTTATAGAAAATCAGCCAAGATTTGATTTTGCTTATTTTCAAGTTTTTGAATGTTATCATATAGTCAAATTTTTTTTTAATTTTTGAATTATTAATCACTAAATTAGATATTTAAATTTACATTATAAGACTATTTTTGAATAACAATGTGCACATAATAATGTATTTAAGAAAGGTTATAATAGATTATACAATAAGTTTGTATTTTATGCAAATATTTTTATGAACTACACTAAATAATTTATTATTTTTAAACAATTTCCATTCAACGAATTGGTACAAAACTAGTTTTTATAGAAATTGAATTAGGCATTTAATTTAACCATTTATTCGTTATAATATTTCTAATAACAAAGTAAATAAAACGAAATAAATTCAAGGCATACACATAACTCTTCTTTTTTTGAGTTCTCACAGGTTAACCTATCTAAGACATTACTATACTCGACCTACCAACTTATTCATTGCTCTAGGTTCGTCTATTCAAGACAATAAATATGTTCAAATAACATGAAACTAGCCCCCTTTCCCACCCTCATTATGCTCAATATTGCAAAAACACCAGCATCTGTCATATCTTCATTTCCCACGCTTTAACACTTCAACAAGTATGCCACCTCTATATTTGACATCTACTTCTTTCTTTTACCTCTCTCTCTTTTGGATGCACCCATCCTTCCCTTCACCTTTCTTTTCTTGGTGATTTATGTAGTGCAATCAATTTATAAAACTAAATAAACTTGAGATTAATTACTGTACGTGATTAAAATTTCAAGTCTGCAAAACGACAAGAAAAAGAAATACACAACAAATATGTAATATAAAAATTTAGGAAAAATATGTGGGTACAATCTCTGGAATTTTCTCGAACTTATAGAGAGATTCCTTCGATTCTTCTCCTCGAACACCAATCCAAGGGCTTCGCAGCTTGTACTTGGATCAACCACCGATTCCTTCAAATCTTGATATGGAAGATTTGAAGAACTTGAAAATATTTGAAAACTCAAGTCTTGATATATGGAAGACTTGGAGAGCTTGAAGACCCAGACCTTCGTAGCTTGGCGTTTCAATACTTGAGCGTATGAGATGCCTCCTGATGTGTCTGTATGTCTGACTTGGTAGAGAGACTCTTATTTATAGCCGTAGAAAGAGGTAGAGGTTAAAAACATGTATACCACTCTACTTGTCTTGCAAGACACGCAGTCACATTAGGACTGTGCCAACTTAAATATTATCTCTTCATTTTGTATTTACTAATAAAACGATAATACTGATAAATACTTCCTTGATTAGCCAAACTTATAGGGACATGTGACGTGGCGCCATTTGGTTGGACAAACTATTGCAGTATATAAGAGATATATATGGATGAAACGACTATAAATATTAGCTCTTTAATAAGAAATAAATATTTAGATATCTATCCAAAATTTTGTCAAGTCATATAGACATGTGACATGGTATAATTTGGTTGGTGTAGATATCCCAATAATTTCAATTGATTGGAACACCTCAATTTGACACATGGCAAAATATAATTGGCCATTTAATAACCAAATTTTCCAAGTATACATGACATATGGCAATATCCAATTGGATAGAAATAAGCCATAAAAAATAATTTATAGACCAATGGTAATTTTAAGAATTAATTAAAATTCCATTGTCTACAAATGCCCCCTCGAAACTTGTTCGCAAATGCTGAAAACTGAAGCAAGATTTGAACGGACAAGTTTCGACATTTTTTTTTAATTTGAGCACCGTCGAAATATTAATTCTCAAATAAGTCCATAAATAAACTAAACTTGAAGTTTTAGTGACTTAGTGATCTTAAATAAAGTCCAATGACTTAGTGGTCTCAAACTCCACGTGAAATACCACCAATGCATCCCTTATTGATCTCAATTTCCAAGATCACTAGCTTTCAATTTCCCGAGGCCGAATCACTTCATTTGGAAGTTTTATGTCCGATGTCCGTAGCTTTCCTTTTGTTAGTCTACCATATGCACAAGAATTCTTGTCCTTTGTGAATTCAATCTCTTAGGAACTTGGGAAATATTTCGGTGCCGACTCTTATAGATAAGAGATCAACTTTCAAAAGGAAACTATGTCTGGACAAACCAATCCCAAGCTTATTAATTGAACTTCCGTTAGGAGCAGAAACCCATTCGGATTCAAATTAGAAATTTCTTCAACCTGAATTCTCCTTGAACGTGGTATAATTTGGGTATAATTTGTGACAAATCCGTGTCTTGCAAGCCCATAATTGGACCAAACTCAAGGCTTTTACAAATTTCCTGGCAACGACTCAATCATATAAGATGGCCATGCAAAATGCCACGATAGTCACCGAATGCATGCAAAGCTTGGTGAATTAGTGATCTCAATTTCCAAGACCAAATCTCATCATGTACTTGCCTCAGGTCCACGGTCTTGGCTATAGATGTTGTTTTTTTTTTTTACTTTCGGGAATTCAAATATCATGTGTATAAGGAATCTTTCTTTTGGATAACCTCTCAAAGCTAGGAATTGCGTCCTTGGTAAATTCTTGAATTGAATCCGACAACTCAAGGAGGAGTTCCATATAAATTGTATTATCATTTTGTTGAAACATAATCACAGCCCATGACAAGTCACACTTGCTCACTCGCTCAACTCCATATCAGATTAAAACTCTTTGCCATTACAAATTCTTCTAATACCAACGCAATCCAAAGACCTTGATAAACCAATTTCAGTTTCAGATGGAAAATTTAGGAGACCAATTGCCATAGAGAACTCCAAGTATTATTTGAAATCCATTAGGAGTCTATGGGATATGCATAGTCCAATCTTCGCTTAACCAAGTTGGAAAGTCCCGAAGCCAGATTCACGTTAGACTTATAATCAACTTCAAACTCACCTTACGGATTCCTTACATTGAAGGACTTAACTCTACTTATTATAAGTAGTCAAGACCGAAGCCCTCAATTCTTCAATGAAAGCTTTTCTTTTTTAAAAACCGAGCTTCATTCCATTCTTCTTATTTTTCATCATCAAGTTGATGCTATTGTAAATTACTTTGTTGCTACCACCACCACTTATTACTTGCCAT